TTTATGGCTACTACAAAATCAGCCTGTGTAACGCTCTGTTGTTTTATTTCAGAATCATTTAGCGTATCTTTGTTACGTTACTTCGATAACAGTGGAGTCAGCCGGCAGTACTACCTTCAACCACTGCGTTTATTACGTCAGGAGAGCACGTTTTCATTTATTATTCCAGACTTCCACTCATTGTCGCTAAAGGCCTACACCAGTACGAACTTTGTATAGTAAAAATAAACTATAGCAAGCGGATTTACTTTTCGCCGGAGGACCGGCCACTGTGACACAATTTTTCCATTTCTTATTTTATTTGTATCCAGGTAACAGCGGAGTCGGACCCGGTTATTCTTTTATCGAGCATAGCATTACACAATAACTAGCATATTAAAATTCGCGCATCTGCGCTTGAGATTTCCAAAATTACATGATTTTAAACCGAATTTTAACGCCAGCCGGGTGTTAGGTACAGTTCACTTGGCGAAGCAGACGATGCACGGGGTGAGAGGGGGAGGGCCATTTCTTCTCTCTCCTCTCTTCCTAGTGGAAGCTTTGCAAAAACAGCTCTCTGGCCGCCGCCATTTTGCGAACCGAGCGACCCCAAACAGCCAGAAATTTCTGCCACCCACCTGAGCTGTGGAAACCCGGTCAGCGTGGCTCCCCACCTGCATTGTGCATTCGGAGTGTGCCGGCTTTTCTTGGAAGTTTTTACTTTATTTGCCTGATTATACTCCGTCTCATCATACGATGGACTGAAGCCCAATGCTACAGGCCAACGGGTCCAATCACGAGCCTGTTAGAAACCACTTGGTACATTCGTTCCGTCGTACGTATCAGAGCGCCAAGAGGTGTCATGTGGTGGAGAGTTTATCGTCTGATATTCGAGCCCTCGCGACGGCTCCTTCTGCTTGCTGCTACTGAAGACTACTGAGGGTATTAAATACCGTCTGAAAGCGATGTGGCGTAAAGAACCCGGGATTAGAACCAGAGGCCAATAAGAAAGGAAGACGAGTCGGATCCTGAGTTCGACACGGCTGCGTATGCACGGACCAGGTGCGGGGAGGAGGTACGCGTCCGGGGACATTTTTACGTACACAAAGATTAGATTAGATTGGATTGTTATTTCTAAGGCGAAACGACTTTACGTCAATGTTTCCTGTGTACCCTTCATTTCTCCAAACAGTTGACATGTTTAATAAATATGGCATGAATGTTTATGAAACTAAATATCATGTGCCTTTACTTTACCAATATAAAATAGCGGTCTATCACATCAGAGAACCATACGAGTACGATTAATGTTTTTCATAGTTTGCGTAGCGGAATTTCTATCGCGCGCTGTTTTGCAATGCGGATGCAAGCTTTTCTGAGGTAGTGCTCCGCCCGCCAGCCTTTGCGCCTTAGTCCATCGTAGGGTGAGACGGAGTACAGGATGCTTACCCTTTGTGTGTATGGCTATAGATGCTAAGATTAGCGAAGCGTCGTTTAGTTCTAAAAAGACTATCTGCTCTGAACTGACATTTGGAACCGTGGAGTGGGTAAACAAAGTGGTGAAGCCATTGATTGCACTCTGGGTTAAGTCGTCATTCTAAAATTGTGAAGCGGGGAGTTGAAAAGTCTGTATTAATGAACTCAACAAAGTTTTCTGGCACTCACCGTTTGGGCGCAGGTTTGCAAAAGCAGTTTTGTAGATTATTCTTCGCGGACAACAGCAGGGAGTTCGTGTCTTCGGCCATCCATCGGTTGCTGACAAATAGTAACTTACTGAAAGACGTCGATGTAGAGAAAAATACCGCAAGATCTGGAGAGATACGCCACCCCCGAGAGATAACGCACCCTTATTAATGCTAAAGCCTCAGCTGTCTCATAGAGGGAGCTTACGCCATCAGTTTAAAGCGCAAATACGGCTCCTGGTTTCCACGATCCCAATAGGAGCGGTTCGCCTTCGGATCCATTGGCTGGCGCGAGTCGACGGGGCTCCTATTGGCCGCTGCTTCATGGCCTCCGATATCCAGAAGCGCGCGTGCGCTGGTACGCAGCAGACGACTAAGGCAGCGGACGGGCGGCTTGCATGCTTTCGCATTCACAACTCATAAGAAATGCTTTGGTGTGCCTCTAACGTTTTCTGTTGTTTTTTTTTTTGCCACGATTTGCTATTTATTTTTTTTTAATTACTCAGATATAGGCTACTTCAAGTAATTGCAGGGTCTTGGCCAATCATGACCTCGGCCGAAATTGTGTTACTTATCCACGGCAAGATATAAGCGAACATTGCTCACTGGGAAGGAGAGTTGTCTTTTTGGATCGTTCCCCCATTGGCGATTACAGGTTTCGTAGGTTTCAAAAACTAAAACTAGTATTTTTTAACTTGTTTTGTTTGCACATCTAAAGTTAGCCCACCCCTTATTTCACCCGATTTGCTCTCGACTTTAGGTGGGCTATCTCTCGGGATATTACGGTAGGCTTTTTGTTTGCCTCATTGTCATAATGTCTCCCATAACCTTAAGGCGCTAGTGAAGAAATTTGGTGTGTCAGCTGTTTTTGAACCCGATTTTCGGCTCGACCAGCTTACACCTTTTTTGTCACAGAAGGCAGATTGAAACAAACAACAGAGACCCTCCCGTGGATTGTGATCTGGGTGTAGTGTGCAAACATTTCTGTGAAATTAGGTTCTTGCTATGTGGGTCAGACGGCTAAATGTGTTAATGACAGGTCAACTGAGCGCAAACGAGCGGTGAAGCACAAATCCGTGGGTTCAGAATTAGCGAATCATCTCTCTTCATGTAGCAAATATGTCGTTGTTCGGAAAATAGTGAAGAGCTCCACAGGGAAAGGGTTTGTTATAAACGTTTACTAGAAGAGTCGTTGACGGTGGATAAGCCCGCTGATCGTTTTAGCAGCAAGTTCGTTTCTCTCGGCATTAGCATGAAAGCGTTTCTTAATCTACGACCTTTTCTTTTTGTGGCTCTGTTAGAAGCTGGTGGACCTCATTCCTTTTGTTACTTAGTGATCGCCCGGTGTTTCCCTTTCTCTTGGTCCTCCGTTTTTCATGTTCGTATCACGATGCAATGTATAATTTCTTTGCTGGGGGATCTTGCTTGGGCGCCGATATGTACCCTAGATGCGTATATCTCGGTTGGGTATGCGTGAAGTCATCGCTGTCATCTAATGTCTTCCTTTAATCTGTTCGTTTTTTTTTTTTTTTTTTTTTTGGGGGGGGGGGGGGGTTGCTTTGTCAAGGTTGTGTTTCGTCAAATAAACCTCAGCTGTGTTTGGAGATTCGTGTTGTCCTATGCCTCTGTTTGCCCACCCACTTTACAGAATTTAACGTGCCAGTTCTTCTGGAGCTCGCCTGCACCTTTGCATTAAACTTTGTTCAGACCCGTTCCATTTGTATCGAGATACTCTGTCATTTTGTTTTGCGCTGGAGGACACATTCATCGAAAAGGTTTTAGCAGGTTACATTCACCAGCATCGTACTGGCGGTATTTACTACATTGCGGTCATATGTTAGCCTGTTTCAGACGATCGTCTCATAACTTTACCTACCAAAAGTGGTAACCGTTTGCTTCAATCCCAAAAGTGCTGCTCTTGCCGCTCCGCAATGTTGATTTATTAGCATTTTCAATCAAGTCAGGTTCAAAATTAACAAAATCTAGTGTCATGAAATATCAACCCGGTAATGATTCAAACAATTTTATCCACAGGTGCTTCCACTAATTTGAAGTGCTCGGAGATGATGCTCAGAAGTGAAAATTCGGAAAGTAACTGTAATTAAACCAAGTTTCAAGTCACACAAAAATTACTAAGTTGCATTTATACCTTATGTAAACTAACGCTTTTAATGCACTTTAGACGTTCCGAAAAATCAGTTTATCAATGTATCGCACAGCGATTTACTAGAAAGGTGCAAACAAGTAGTGAAAGGCAGTAAAAAAATCAATGAACGAACTTACCGCATTCAAAAGAAAAGAAACAAAAAATAAAAGGCGTTTACAAATCTCTAATCCGAAGTTGGAGCGCAGATCTTGAAAGGGCGGACGAGAGGGTACGAAGCGGAGGGTATGCCCCTCCTCCTTTCTCTTCTTCCTCCCCTCCTCCTCATCCGTACCCTCCCCTCCTCCTCCTCTATACCCTCCCCTCGTCCCACAGGTTTCCCGCTAACTTTAGCTGGAAAAATGACGTCACATGACTTCTTGTCACTTCACCCACAAAAAAATTCAGCCTCTCTGCTAGATTTAGCGGGAAAACTAACATTACATGATTTCAGCACCAATTCAATTTCCCGCAAAATTTAGCGGGGCAGTTACGCCGACGGTGACACCGACGGCGACGCCACTATACGGAGAAACGGGCGCCTAAGAGCTGCGCTCTAAAATCTGTCCTGGCCAATCTACGCCGACACCTCAAAGACAATGCACGCGTAGAGAGAAGATCTGCCCACAGATGTCGCACGCCGCGTCCAGGGAATGCTTGCCGGTGATTGATAGCAGACGATCTCGCAAAAAAACTCGAATCGGCCGGTGCTCCCCTAGACGCCGCGTCTAGGGAGCACCGGCCGATTCGCCATCTGTGAGCGGATCTTCTCTCTACGCGTGCATCGTCTGCTAAGTGACAGCTTAGATTGCCCAGAACAGATTTTTCTTTTCCTTGTAAACGAGGTAGGATTATTTTTGGTTTTTGTTTTTCGCTGTAAAATTCCACCACCTGTTTGCACCTCTGTAGAAAGTCGCAGCGCGATACGTTGAGTAACCGATTTTTGCAGGCGGTCTAAATTTTTTTAAAAGCATTAGTTTACATGATGTTGTTACTAAAATGCTATTATAACTTGAAAAGTATTTAGTTAGAGAAGTGTAACTAACTACAGTAACTCAAATAGTTGTAATTAGTTTCTTTACTGCTTCGCTTCACTGTCAGGTTAGCATTAGAGTGCAACCTGGGAAGATTTCAGTAGCCTAATCATCTAAACTATATTAAAAGTGCGTTAACTCGCTTTTGTACCCCAAAATCAGGAAAACTCCCAAATGCTACTCCGGTTCCCCCGGGAAGGTACACGTACGCTGAGTGTGGTAACACCACCTGTTTTTCCAGTGGTACTTCCTTTCCTGATAAAGGTAAGTTCAGGTTTTATGCTCGACAAGCGTGGAGCTTGTTTTTGTTGGTGGTATATATAATTTGAATTACGAAAATTATTTTCCCACCCAGGAAATGCACGAGAGTTTGGTGGTTTTTTAGAGAATGCTCTAGACGAGTTGTTCTACATTCCGGAAAATGCTGACGATTTTGACATGTATGTCGTATACAACGAGCCGCAATGTTATATCCTTAGGAATCCCGGAGCCTCAGGAGGTAAGGTCATTAAAGCTTCAGCGAGATTAATGTCACATCTTGTTGTATTTCGCTCATTTCAATATGTAAAGCAGCTACCAGTTTGCTTTATAACAGAAAAAAAACACCCAAATTAAGGTTGCTTAGCGCTGGAGTCTTGAAGAAAACGAGCTGTTCAGAAGGTGTATTACGAAGGATTTAATTTGCGATGTTTATATTCAGATTTGCGCGTAGACGCATCCTACCTGTGTAAGATCAACTCTACGTTTTGTGGTATGTTCACTTTGCAAAGGTCCCGTCTAAACCCGTTGGTAATCTTCAATGCCTTGAAGGAACATGTGTATATGTTAACTAGAACTGGAGTACTCTTGGTACTAAAGTTTTGTTTCAACTAGAAACGAGTGCACCAAACATTGCTCATTATCGCGCACAATCAACTTTGGTTCAAATACGATTGCAGACGATGACTTCGCAAGACTGCAGTGAAATGTCTTATACTGCTGGTGTCGTGTCTGATTTCAAATACATTCAGAATGCTAGTGCAACTTAATTTCAACGTAAGTTCGTGCTAAGTGGGAAACTTGCAAGATAATTGAGAATGAGAGGTGGGCCCTAGTACAAAACAACAACAACATACTAGATGTTTTGCGCATCGCTTGTGCAACAAACACCTAAAAGTGAATAGCCCACGTCAGCGATAATATGGAGATTCAATTTATTAAGAGAACACCATTGGCCAACTAAGCTTCCCGGCGGCCAAAACATTTGCATCTATTCTTGTCTCACCATAACTTGTCTCACCAAGTTATGGTGAGACAAGTGGTGAGCAAACGGCTAAGGCCGTTGGCAAACGGCTGAGGCTCGAGTGAACCAATCAGCGTGTCAGAGCAAGACACTTGATTATACTCTATCTCACTATGTGCACACAGTACTGTCGAAACCATGAGCAAGAGAGAAGGGGAAGCCGGTTTTGTACTACTATTTTGCGACGGGCTAATCTCCGAAGACATTAGAATTTGCTTCAGTTCGCTGATTGTATTACGATCTTCAAACGAAGCCAGATCACATGTTGATTGTGAACTGCTGCAGGACATATCTGATATCTCATCATGGTGCGCAAAAAAAATACGTCTAAACAGTAAAAAACACGTATCGTTTTTATCACGCAAAAAGTGTGCGTTTAATGTTTTGTATAAACAATACAATCAACTGTTGCAACGTGAATATTGCGTACATGACTTAGGAGATTATATTCTCACGGGTGGTGATCAATAAACAAGAAATAAACAGGAAGAAATAAACGTTTAATGTGGCGAACTTGTGCCAAAAATAAAAGGGTAGAAAAGATAATAACAGAGCGTCGCGGGCGTCGAAGTCGGCGTAGCAGCAGAGTCGAACGCTGGGGCGAAACTAACCGTGGCTCGCCACGCGGAGCCCCTTATGTACATGCGTGGTCTTCTGGAATAATCGGCGTAGAAACTTCGACGCGTAGAACATTCGGGCCTGGAACAAGCAACATGATTTTCGAATTCTCCAGAACACTAAATTGCAGGAATAAACAAAAGACACGTCGCTCCCAGGATTCGAACCCTAGCTTTTCGCGCGGGAGGCAGGCGCGATAACCATTAGGCACCGCGCGCGCTGCCTGCTTGGCCAGCTGCGCGCGCGGCAATATTGATGAATCCCTTAGTTATATGTCAAATTTGCTTAGTTTTTTTGTTTTGACTTTTAGGTTTGTGTTCGCTATAACCCGTCATTTTAAAGAGACTTCATGCCTCGTCAAGCTTTATGCATCTGTTGTTCAATCGAAACTAGAGTTTGTCTCTGTACTTTCGAACTGTCTGGGACTGACCAGCCCTGCTAGCCTAGAACGTGTGCAGAGAAAGTTGGCACATATAGAATACGACTGTTATTACGGCACCCGATTCTTTTGTAGCTACGAGTCAAAGTTACTTCGGCTAAACTTGCCAATACTGGCACCGGAATTTTCGAGATTATGCACTTTTGGTGAAAACTGCACATAGCAGAATACGTTGCCCCAGACTCGTTTCTCTGCTTTCTCTAGATGTACCTCCCGTGAATTGTCGTCACCACAACACTTTCTACGTACAAGACATGTGTTAATTACCCACATTTTACTAATTTAAGGCTATTTTAATGCACTGAGTGCGGTGGTCGACATTTTTGGGAGTGAGTTGGATGTGAAAAGTACAGAAATCATCCACATTTGGTACCATCAGTGTTCGGCTTTTCTGTCTGTTTTGTTATTTTCTGTTTTTTTCTCATGAACGTTTATGTGTGGGTATGAGTGTGTACCAGTACTAAGGCCTCGGTTGTTTCTGGACACAATACAAATAAATATCTAAAGAATACCTAAATATATAACGTTTAAAAATATAACAGAGAGAGTTACGGAACGCTGTGTCAGAATAATCAACTGAGCTTTAACTATGAAAAAAAAAAACTTCATTCAAAACCTACTCTTGCCTCCCTCTTTCAAGAAAAAATTGATACCCATTCAATGAGATATTCGTATTTTGTTACTTATTGGCGTCTGGTGTAACGGCTGGGGTCTGGGGTTTAAAGACATAGCAGAAAACACTGCTTATCTAAACTTTTCTTATCTTAGTAACGGTTTGTGCGACGACGTGATTAACGAAAGAAAAAAAAAAACTTGAAAAAACAAACAAACAAAAACAGACAGGTAGAGGAGTAGTAAACCCGACAAGCGCTGACTGACAACTGACACTTTTATTTTATTGTGGGAACTTACACCAGCTCCCCGCACCGCAACTGATTTTCATTTTCATTTGGAGTCACTTGCTTTCGCACGTTTAAGTACTTTCACAGTCGCCCAAACCTGTCTGTATGAATTTCGCGATTAATTGGTATTTTGTCGATTTTATAGGATGCGACTTGTGGCTGCGAAAAACCGAGTTGAAAAAAATAGTGGATGACCTGGAAGATGAGATCATAAAAAAAGAAGAGGAACTCTATAAAAATCATGTAAAGAAAATATTGGGAATCTATGAAGACTGCACTCCGACAGATAAACAAAAAGCAGGCCTAAGACTTTACGTAGACGATGACATTAGAGTATGGTTTCAAGACATCGTATGGAAACGGATTTCCCTCGACTGCGTTCTCGCCTTCATGATAACCTGTGGAGAACCATTATATGAAGTTTACAATCCGATAACCTGTAATACCTCACTAACAGGGCAATAAGTGTCAATTTCCTAGAATTAACAGGCGTGATTCTCAGTTGCACGTCGGGGGGTGAGGAAAAGCAGTGTGTATGCAAACTTGGCATTAAAAAAGAGTCTGCCACTGTGTAGTGTCTTGCATCTTTGGAAATAAAATGAGTTGGAAAAACTACCGCTTTCATTTCGTTCTCACTGCAAAAGAAAAAGAAAAAGACATGCATGTGTTGTAGCTAACTCTTGCTGAGACTTTAAAAACATGGTGCGCACTACACGTTTCAAACAAACAAAGTATTGTTCAGTTGAGCAAGTCAAGTTACTTTTTTAATGGGCCAAACTGGCTATGAGCGCAGATAATCTAGCCGACTTTTTTAAACATTATTTTGTGCGCATCCTTTCAATACGAACGTTGTAGGACGCGTTGAAACCCTGTTCATAGTGTGTTTTTAGTAAGGTATAGCCTTTTTGTGTCTAATATTTTCAAGCGGTAAAAAACAAACAAATAAAATATGGGCAATTTTTTTTAACTTTTAATTTACGGAACTAAGGCCAACGCCATTCCAGTTCGCCAGCCGATAATTACCGTATTTTCCGAACTATAATTTTCAAAATTTGACGTTTTACCCTGTGCGGATTATCTACGGGTTCGGACTATACAAGGTTTTGTATTTTTCTACATCGTTCACTGTGACAAGACGCGAAGGATTTTATGAGTAACAGAGTATAATAATAGTGATTTATATGTGATGCAAGCTTGTTTGCGAGCTAATGCAGCAGGCAGTTGTCAAGATGTGCTCTGTATGATCATTTTTACGTTCGGATTAGGCACTAGGTGCGGACCATGCGCAGCGTGCGGCTTATAGTCCGGAAAATACAGCACATAAAATGTTTTAAATCTAGCACGACGTTTTGAGTTTTTTTTTTTTTTTTAAGCCGAAAACTATTATACATATGAAGGCTACCTTTATTTATGGAAATGACAGGATGGGATGTTCCTGAACTCACTCTAAAACTTTCGTAAAGCGGGTTTTCGGACAAATTAAGAGTTTAAAAGTTGGCTAGTATTAATCAGCGACCTTAGCATATCAGAAGATATATCTGGAGTTGCACGAGAGGACTATGGACAATACTGCATTGGTTCAACAAGCGTAGCGTGCACCAGCTTTCCTTTAAGTCTTGGCACAAGTTAGCCGAAACATCCTTTATTACACCGGGTTGCTTATCCATCTACACCGACCCGCACGCCTTCCCCGCAACGTATACAGGAAGCAGCCAGGGCCTTGCACTGTCCAGGACTACAACCCTAAATCGGTTTGAGACCCCCGGGCTTTACTCTGCCTCCTTTGCTCATCGGCCTCCGCTACTGCAATTAAAACATTTTTCGGCGTTTTTTTTTTGTTGCTCTTTTTGTGAAAAAAAAAGAAAGAAAACGTGTCAATTTTTTGTTTAATCTTGCATTGGACCCTTTACCTTGCCCAGTCTGGGCATAGCATGTTGGTCCGGGCCTTGGGTGGCATCGTCCTTTTCTTTTGGGATTAGGCACTATCTTTTTTTCTGGCTGCTTGTGTCCTTTGCGATGATGCGTTTTCACTCGCGTCAGAATTCCTGACGCCAAACGAAAATTGGCAGATCGATAACCCGGATGTTTGTGCACTTTTTACGCCACCGGCGGCAGTTCTCTAAATTGCTTTCGGAGTGTCGCGTCTGCAGCGAGGAGGCGCGAGATTTGTTTTTACGACGGCGGCCAACCCTGCCCGTTGCTTACCTTAGAGCAGGGGTCAGGCAACACCTCCAATACAAGGAAAGCCTCAGAGCTCTTTCCGCATGGCCGAAAGAGAAGGCCATCGGGGCCGCTCTAAAGCGCGGAAGAGAAAAAGTACGCGGGGGGTTACCGTCATAGCAACGAGTTATTATTGATGCAAGCCTGTTCATTGCCTTAAATGCCAACTGAGAACGACCTTTGGGTTAGGAACCTGGTTTTCTTAAACTGGCGAATTATTGTTTTATATAATCAGTGATGTAAAGTACAAGAAGGCTGTAGGTGTATAATTGTCAAGATAGGGTTTACTTTTAAGCCCGAAATTATGCATGATGTAATTATCCACGCAAAATGGATTATTTATGAAGAATACTTGCCAAGAATTACATGATGAAGAGCGATTGAAAAAGGCTTTTTTTATCACAGCATCAACAAAGTTTACTTAGTAAACGAATGTAGTAACTGCATTCTTGCTTGAAGCGAAACGGTTCAGAAAGCTTCTTGCCAAGAGCCACTTGCATCTACACCACAAGTCAAGCTGAAATTATGACAACGCACCATAGCGTAGGCGGGGATGCATCAATGGAACGATGACTTGTGACCAGACGTGTGCCTATCTCGAATACTCTACTCAAGATACTGTATCTTAAATACGTTTTGGAGCATCTTGGTATCTTGCAAATACCTTTGATGGAGAGTATTCAATACTCTATTTTAATTACATTTCTGAGTATCTTGTACTCATTATCTTAAATACATTTTTGACATTCCGCCGTTTTCCGAGGTTTTCGGTATGAAGTGGGGTGGGCGTTACACGAGCAAACGTGAACATTATTTCGAGCAACCAAATCCTGTTGCTAGCTCCGATTAGTTGCGGTGACTTAGATTGAGCCCGTGAAAATGTCGCTTTTTTGCCGACTGTGACTCATATTTCAGCCCAAAGTTCGTACAATGAAGGTTCTCCCCTCGCCTTTCCAAAGGCGCCTTTTGTTTCTATAGAGTTTTCCTCCAAAAAAAGCCTCGAACCAAAGGTGGGGTTGTAGGGAAGTAAAGATGCCACCCTGAGGCGCGAGCAGACCGGGAAACGACCTAGGAGAACAATGTAGACTTAAGTGTCAAGAAATAACAAATAGAAAAAAATGAGAAGTGGACACGCACAAAAAAGTAGACATTTTTGTTTTGCTCTTTTGTATATTTGACCCCGCTAAAGCAAAACGTCGAAGCTCTTTTTTCTTCTTTTTTTGTGTTGTCAAAAAGTCAAATTTGGGGGTTTTACGTGCCAAACCTACGACGGGCATCTGGCACGCCCCAGCGGAGGACTGAGGATTAATTTCGACCACCTGGGGATCTTTTGACGTGCAACCGAAAGCTCGGTTACACGGCGCCTTCTCCGCAATAAGCCTCCGTCATATTGCGGGCACCTCGGTCGGGATTCGATTTTGTGTTGTCAGTCCGGCACTTATTGCTCCCGCGAACACTGTCTGTATGCGAACATTGCTAAGGAGAGAACAGTACAGTAAACGAACCAGGAGCTTGATGAGCTCTTAAAATGCCGACAAAGTGTCCCCCAACGTTGAATGCTTTTCTGAATGCAACCTACTTGAAGGAGGTGCGACCACTGCCGTGGCTATTAGGTGGGTTCCCTTTGTTATTTATCCACTCATATTCCCAAGTTCGTTTATAGTGAACATAGTATAGGGAATATGGATTGTAGTTAAACGATGCGCCTAAGTTGTGCCGCAGGATGTGATATTCAGCGATGTCACTATTGGCGAAGCGCTCTGACCCGTTTGTCACCCCCACACCTCGGTGCTTACCCAACGAAAGTCCTGTGCACATGCCCACAGCCCTTGTGGGCATGTTCGTGTCATCTATTTTAATAGAGCGCGGGGCATAGTGTAATGAAAAAAATACCAACAATTAGTGAAGTGACATTAAGTGCCGGATTTCCCCCGAAAGCAGTCGTCAGAGGATAAGAACTTGACCCACTTGGGCTTTTGTGCTGAGCTAGGCACTCTGCATGCTGCCGGAGTGATAACAAAAGAGCCCCTCCTCCACCTCACCGGAGAACACGAACTCCAGCCGAACGCTGACGCCGCGCTCGGTTAAGTCAGCCGAGCGCTTAGCCATTGTATTTGTTGTCCCCATCCATCTAGTTCTAAAGTTAACCGCTTGGGGCGCCACGATGTGATCTCCTCCCCAATAGCTAAAGCGACCTTTTGATGTCCCAGAAATGTTTTGTAACATCTATCAGTGATATTGCCACGTGCGTTGCCCAGCGAGCGCGTGGCCGAATGGTTACAGCACTTGGCTCTCGCGCGGAGGCTCCACTCCGGGTTTGATACCAGAAAGCGGACTTCTCTTTTATTCATTCTTTTAACTCGACATTCTGGTAAGTTCGAGAATTTTGTCGTCTGATCGAGTTACGAATCTTCTACGCGCTGAACTTTCTACGCCGAATGTTCCAGAAACTCACGCGGGTACAAAAGGTGCTCCGAGTTGCGGTCCGAAGTCAGTCTTGCCCCAGCAGTCGATCCTGCTGTTTCGCCGACATCGACGCCTGCGACGTTGGCCTTTCTCTCGTTTGTTTTGGGAACACGTTCGCCCCATTAAACGTTTAGTTACTTCAGTTATTCGCCGCGTCATCATTTATCATTCGTGACAATATTGTGCTCTTTATAGTCGGACTGCATAAAATAGCACTACGATACTTTTTTTTCTTCTTCCGTTTTGTGCTGTTGCGTGTTAATAAACCATTCTGGTAACCCAGATATGCGTAGCTACATAATTGTCGTTGCCAATGACGTCGATACAAATTAAGCAATGCGGAATTATCTTCAAAAGTAACTGAAATACATTTCTAAGTATTTGTACTCTACTCATGATACTTTACAGTGAAAGTAACTTGAGTAGTATTTTAAACACTTTATGATGCAGGTATTTAGTAACGTAACCTAAATACTTTTATCGAGTATTTTGTCCAACACTGCCTGTGACCCTGTAACATCATCCGCGCGTGACGTCCCTCAAAGGATATCGCTCTCCGTGAAGTGAAGCTCGCGCACTTGAAAAACAAAGTTGCCTTCGTATAAATGACAACAATTTATGAGCACTTTGCATTTGGTTCCCACGTGTTACACGAAGCACGAATGATCCCGATCAATATATTCGTGCAGGAACACGCGAGTCCACATATTTTCAACTGCACGTATACACGGATAGATGTGACCTTTACATGCGTCTTATCTTTTTTTAAATGCTTTGCA